TTTCCTTTTCTCGAGTATCCCTTCTTTTCAAACTTGAATCTGTTGATGCTCCGAGACAGCTGCTCTCATGTCCTTCTGACTATCTGACAGATAGGGCCTAGTGCACCAAATTAGGAGGGAGGATGTCAAAACCTCTTGTTAATACTTCCGGTGTGCTTCAAGGTGCTCTGTGATCTCCATATCTCTTTCCTGCTTTTAATTGTGATATTTCTCTCCCGCCCACTGCACATATCTAAGAGTATGCTGACAATGTTGTTTCGTGTTAGACAATTTTCTCTCCTTCGGAATTCGATTCACTCAGTGAAAATCCGTCACACATCCAACAGTTTTCCAACCAATCTGGTCTTAGTCTAAGTGCCTGGAAGGAATCTTCAGTCTTCCCCACTTCTCATTTCAAAGGGACTCTACTGTCCTAAAATGTAAACCTGTATCCAGAATGAACTCTGTAAAATCTCCAGGGGAGTATTTGAATTTTGTTCATACTCTGACTACTGTGATTAGTTATAAATATCAATATCCGTTCATTGTTCTACATCTAACATTTATTGCCAAACGACAGAATCCCAACATTGAATTGTGATTTAATCCATGGCTGCGTACTATTTTTTCTGTTTCTCTGTGTTCATAACTGTACACTTCCACCTTGGTTGTACAGTATCACAATTTTACTCATCCTGCACCGCTATGTTTGGAATTATTCGTATGATGGTGTCAAGTGACTTGGCCCTAAGTTCATTTTAATTTGTCGTATATGAATAGATTGCCTAGTAAAACAGTTCAAATAGAAATGAAGCGCCTCAGCCCTCACTGTTTTCTTTGCCTCCGCCCCGCCGGTGCGTAAGAAGAGCTTTGATGTTTTCTCGTTTACCTCTACCGCTGTTAATTTCTTTCGACAACCTCTGTCACTTACCTGGGTGTCATCATCGATCTCAATCTTCGCTGTTGAACAAACATTTACAGCTGTATGAGAAAACCGAGACGTCTCTCTTTTCTGTTTCGCAAACTCAGGCAAGTCCGAAATCCACAGCTAATCCTATCGTTCACCAATGCGTTTTCCCCATTCTACTCTACTGCGCCCCTGTAGTGTCTTCAGATTTCAGAACCATTCGTCGCTGTTTAGTGATAATCAGTCGTGCAACACTGATCTCTATCTCATCCACTACATTCCTCTCTACCTTTTCAACTACAAGGGAATCCGTTGTAACTTCAAGTGAATCCAACCGATCGCATTCCAGTGAGAACCCCACAAGGTGATTCGTGTTTTGGCCTTCAAGCTTTCACCGGTTGAACCGTTTCTGTCTAAATCACGTCCAGTGCGAATGAACTCACTTTTCCGAAATCAATCAAAAGTATTTTTCCAAAGCGTTAGTGAGCAAGGACGAAAGTATTAACAGTTATAACGATTCTCCTTTACCCAACCTGGCTTGACTTTCAACCAAAAAGGAAAAGGTCACCAGAATTTTTACACATGAAACAAACTTCAACCGCATTCTTCGTTCTGCATGTTATATGAGATCGCATATTTTATTCCCTGTGCCGACCTGCGAAAATATTGTACAGAAATCTAAGCTTACACAAGTTATAAAAACGGTCAAATACGAAACTGGCCACAAGGACCACTAGGATTTACCGAGGTAGGCACTCATAAATCAAATACTGCTCAGTCGATAAGCCGCAAATTCAGAGGAAATACAAATTACATCCGCTTCAGTAAATTCATAGAAAATGCTGACTTGAGAGTTCCTTTTACAAACGATGGAACGCAACGGACTACTCACAAGTAGTCGGTCACCAAATGCTGTTATTTCAAATGCATTCTACAATTGATGCAAATAGAACTGAGGTTTAGAGAAAGAATTAATATTTCAGCCAAACCGGAAGAATATAGTGGACCGCATTTATAAGCCATCATTAATTAAGGTGTTTTCCCTGCGCTCTTCAGATTTTCTATTGTAGCCTGCATACAATTCTATCTGTGAACTAATTTGTTGTACGTAGGTTTCATTGTTTCAGTCTTCCTTTGGGAAAACAACATCCATGAACTATGCTTCCTATGGTCCCAATGCATTGATGTGCTTTGACTCAACCCTGAGATACGCATTAAATAAACATACATTCTCAATGAACTAAGATGGCTTTTATTAACTAGATTACTTACCTCTTTATCTGGCATCAGAATCCAAAGCTCGCGGTCACTGTTCGATACTTAAGATAGTTATCGGGCTATTTATTTGATACGTTGAGTGATTGCAGAAAAACATCACAATCAACTGTTTAAGTATGCTTATCCTTCATAAGTTTGATTGTAGATGATGAGCAGTGCATTTGTTTTTATTACGCACACTAACGTCATGATCGGCAAAAAATGTAACCCAATGAACATGAGGACTTAGTGGTTAACCGCCGACCTAAGCCCTTGCTGTACGATGTTCTTTGTCATTCATCGCGCACTAGTTCATTATAATTAACGAATTATTTTCTCTCAACCTCGAAGTTCATATTGATAATATTCATTTTTTATATAAACATCCCCACGTGTATTCACAACAAACAGGCAAACAGTTCCCATAGCATATGTACGACAAAACACTTTTATAGCTTTAAATATATATGATTATTATTATTATTATATTTTCATACGACTATTTACACTAATCTTCCTGATTTTCGGATTCAACTTTTACTTGAGTCTCCTGATTGTCTGTTGGATAGATAGGAATGAGTCGACGAACAGTCGCTTCCACCAGATTTCCGTGTCCCAGTGTGTGTGGAACACATTTATCAAGCCGTTCGAGATCGTAGTATGTTTTTCGCCAACCGGAGGCTTGTTGTGTACTGGGCTTCACATTCGGTAATCGCTCAGATTTGCTTCGACGTGCTGGCCACATCCAGGTAGCGGAGTTCTGTGAGAATAACGGATTGGTTTCAATACTTCGATAGAAAACTGGTGACATTTCACCACCCTCGTATCGGATGGAGAACTGATCCAGCCCGACTAAACCGAATAACGGCTCAATAAGGACTCGCTCAAGGGACAGAGTGATCCAGCCGTCTTCTTCCACTGTGTTCATAGATAGAGGTTGTGTGTGGAATGTGACACTGGCACGGTGCATTTCTCGATCCATGTGTTCACTCTCGTCGTCGAATATGGNAGCCATACGCGACGATCTCCATCCACCCATTAGAATTTTTTGATCAGTTGAGTTCGGATGAAATCGTACACCTAGACATGTCTCGCATCCAGTGCAATTCACATTATCCGCGGATTGAATTGCATCCCCAAATGATTTGAAGAAATGCGGGATACCACACGGATCGTATTCATCTTCTTTGAAATCCGCGATGGAACATCGTCGATCCACCCGTATATTGATAGCATCCGGAAGAAAAATAGGTAGGAACATACGATTATCCAAATTCTCATCGACGCGTTCCTGCATGAGAATGCTATGTAGAGTGACTCTTTTTGAAACTCTGTGTCGTACATCAACACGTTCGGCATTATTCACATTCGAACCTGTACCCATCGAGAGAAATCGCTCCATCAGGCTACTTCTGACGCGGGACTGTTGCGAGCACGGAGTCGGTACAGATCCTTCTGTCAATTTGTATAACTTGCTTAGGCCTGCTTCCAGATATGCAGCATTTAGAGGAATATAACCCAAAGGTAAATTACAATTGAAACAAGTAATACGTCGCCGATGATTTAATTTCGAAAATGCTGGCATGGAAGTGGACAACGGCAACCGACAATTGTATTCCGATCTGCTAGGAGCATTCATTTTTCCACAGTCAGAATGAATGGTACGTGTAATGCATGTATGGCAGTTTGAACAATTCAGTCACGTGGTCAATTAAATCAATCGAATTGAAACCCGTGAAGGATCACATGGCTTCAAACAAATAAGCTTCGTGATAAGTTATATGTTATTGTCGCTAATTTCAGTATATGTCCACATTGCAGGCAAAACATACACAAATAATTTCGAGGAATGAAAAATGCAAGTACAGTTCCCCATTTTCGAATTCCTGCTCAAAAGCTAACGATTTGATTTCAATGGTTAAGTTCGTGTTTCCCGCGTTATGGAGAAAGAGGTTAGAATATCTGCTTACTCTAGGTCACTATTATGTCCCTATCCCAATGTCAATACCATCAACGGCCGCGGTAAATCTTTTACAGCACAACGATTTTCATTTCCCAATTCATTGATTCTGTGCACGAGGAAATTCATCATTTAAACAAATTAAACTTGCCACTACTCTTGTAAAAATTCAGGTTCCAAAGAAATTCAATTTGAATTTTCAATTTAAGGAATACCCATTGTAGTTCGCACCGATTTTCCAGTGGGCTGTCTCCCAAGGTTGAAAAGGTGTCCAGAAAGTGTCATGCTGATTTCTGGAATTCAGCATAGTATCTCCATTCGCTGTGTTCGCCAATGAGCTCATCAAGTTTAACACGTGATGAAGGATCTCAGCTGCCTATTTTAACAATACAAATGTCATCATAAACGGTAATGCATACATTATGTTTACTTTCACTTATTTTGGAGTGTTCTTTTATTGTTGCGGGTTTGGGTAGAAAAGCGAAAAAAAAGTCTCTCTTTAATACCAGTTGAAGAACCCGGTACAAAGTTATCATTCTTTGTAGATTCATGGTTGACTGTGAGTTATTCGTATCACCACATGTCTCACTCACCAACTTACAAGGATAGCACAGGCTGTGAAAAGATGCAATGCGAATGATGCGACAAAGGTGATAAACTAGGTGACCAAGCTGACCGTTTGTTGTCATTGGTAATGTGGATAGAACGCGATAGTCAATTCGGGAGTTGCAGAGAAAAACTGTAATTTTTGTGGAGGAGTTTAAACTTCATCGTGCTATTCAGGTGAAATACTGTTAATTCTTTCATTGTATCCTCGGTAAGTATTTCGGTAGGCGTGCCTTTCAACGCCAGCAATATGTAAGCAATTGCATTTGGCTCAAAGGAATCGGTGTTATTCGAAGGGACCTCTGTCTCAATGGAATTTACTCGCCGGGCTATTCAGGACCTATGTTGGACCCAGTCATTCACACCTGAGCATAGTGACCGATTAATCGATCCATTTTGACATGATTCACTTCCTTACTCGACCGAGCGAGGCCAACTACCACCGGGTTTGTTCATTCTCTCCTAAAGCTCACACGATCAACGGTCAAGGACATAACGTACCCGGTGTCGTGGGGGGGGACGAGCGGGCAAACCACACCCCACCGAAACTTTCACCCGCACTCGGTAGCTCATTGAAAATGTACTTTTGTTTGTCTATGTAGAATCATCAGTTCACTCCGACTGGACGGGGTTTTGATAGACACGGCTTCCAATTCCGGACCCGCCTCATGGAATGCCAGTGTGTTCCCCCGGTTCCAGCCATCTCGTATCAGGTTTGAACTGAATTGCTGATTCTGCAGGAATTCAATGCTTTGAAACTCCTCTGTTAAACAAAAACTCGTTTGCGACTAGATGACAGTTACAATAGGACGAAGTAGTGAGAGAGTACCTAGTTGTTGAATGAAATGTGATACATTCCGTTAGCGTTTACTGTAAACACCGAACAAGGTTGCCAATTTAATTTGATTGACAAGCAGTTGATTCCGTTGAAAATGGAACGCACCTGACCACACATATACCATCATTGGATATGTGTGGATAACAAGGCAAACTATGCGCAAAACAGTGGCTTATGTGTGGAAACAACATTACTACAGTTTTCTTTTTCGCAAGCTAGTAAGCGCGCCTAACGAACGAGGTAAGACCACTGTGTAAATCGTACACATTTGGTGTACCAACCCTACGAAAAATAGTTGAACGAGCAGCCTACGGAAGTGAACAGTAATAAATTCCACTGGAAATGTTCCCAAAACCACCTACTTAACCAATATCGGAGAAAAAAGAGAAAGCAGATATTTTACATTTCATCCTTTCGCCGAAGCTCCGTCCTAACTGATACGATCAAGAAAACAAAACTCGACACACGTTTCTGGCTATAAAAACCACGAGCGTGGAGGGGTGTCAAGAGCACTCGCTGAGCAGTGGACTATATAGCGGTCTGGGCAAACATGTTGCCATCCCGAAACGCATGGATTTCTTACAGATAAGCCTTGGGGGCGAATACATTAGGCGCAAGCAGTTTCTCACGAAGCTTGCTCACAAGCTGAGGGAAACACAGTTTTCGGTGTTCTTATATAGTCTCGGCACAAATGGTTTTACAACTGGATGCTTGCCAAATAAAAAGGAAAATGTTCATAACCCGGAGCAACAATATCAAGTCAAGTGTGATCTGCTTTACTTGGAACGGACTATTCAGCGGAACTTGTTGCTCACAGCCAAGCAAGGAAAATATTGGTTTGGCCAAGCAACTTCTGTGATTGCTGGTCTATTTTTTTTTACTATTTTTTACTATAAAACTTCTTACAATGTTTATCCTTTGTCGTGCCTTCAGGGTGGCAACGTCCTATTAGGTTCGTTGTTTATATGGCTAGACCAAGGAGAGAGAACTTCAATGAAGGTGATAAATCTAACCACCTGAACGCACATACTATGGATTCCACGAAAGCACGAAAACCATATAAAAGTCTTTTACCTGCATCTGCTTGCCATTGTGTTTGATAAAATAACTATTCCATTTTCAATATTTTGTTCACCAACATAAAAACCTTTGCTTATTACCATTCATGCTTCGTTGCGGTAGTATTTTCATTACTCATAAAAAACGGATGTCAGATATGTGGTTGTTCCTTCAATGAATGGGTGGCATAGAGGGGGAAGTGATTTGGAACACTACAGACGGTGCTTTGTAGAGAAATTATTCTAAAAACTGACCAAACCGACCGTTTGGTGGTCCCTGGTGGACGGTGTGTCTGTATGTACTCCAGCAGACAAAATCTATTGTCTTTCCTAAGCTGGTTACTGATTAAGTGAAACTAACGTTTTGGACGGCGAACGATGAATGTGAATAAAATGCACACATTGCAAGCATTGCACAAACGGGCTTACAGTGAATTTGAGTAATGTGTGACATTGATCAAAGTTACTCAATGGAAACGTGCGTCTGGGCTTGTGAACAGATATTATACAAACTGAACAATGTAAAAGGCAGAGTAATCTATCGACTGGAGACCTACGAAGAGTAAGGGTCATCAAAGTAGAACAACTTTGGCACGACGTGTGAGCACACAATTCATATTAGGAAATTTTTCATTGATAAAAGGGATAGTAAAAGAAACACATGTAAAAGAAAGATGTCTGATCTTTTCGAGAGTGTTTGAAATAAGATGTCATAACATTTATAGATGGAATGAAACCTGAACTATACAGAATTCATGGACATATAGAAAAATGAAGTGAAAGATACTTGAGGACGTGGATATTGGAGATTCGGTTTTCATCTTTCGCGTGCCCAAAACAATAGTGTGTCATTTGCGACTTTTGGGTATTGAAGATGGAAAGACGAATGAAACGACCATATAATAGCATCTTACGCCAGTCCTGCGAACCTTCGAATGAGATGCGAATGGTGATGGTAAACAGGACAACTCGAGTCTTGCCAGTGTAATTATCAACAAAATGCGAATGAAAACAGTTTTTCGTGGTAAAGTGTGTATGGACTTTGTCTCCCATCTCAATAAAGAGGTGTCTCATCCGAGAACCCGTTCCCAATTTTTTGTGCACGCACCACCACACGTAAACAGCATGATCCCTTATTTTTCTCGTATCGTGGTCAATCGAGCTAATATTATTACTGACTTGAACAATCATCTGTCACATTAGGATCTTATCTAATCCGTTTGTTTTATATTTAGTAAATGTAAATTTCTTCCTTTTCAATGTTTACCGTTTTCCCCACTGTGACTTGTCGAAAATGTTGAAAATTCATCCTATTGGGTACATAAAGATTTACTTGAATGATTGACATTTCTTGAGGAAAAGAATGACGGAATCCCATTCAGGACAGACATTTACAGACTTGTTTCTGTAGTAAACCGGAATAAAACGCAGCTGGAATCTTTATTGCTTGCGGCACACACACACGGACACAAAAAATGCGTGAATCGTATTGCTACCCCGTTGAATTACTGGCCAAGTTCAACACAGCCCGCTGAATGAATGAAAGATCAACTGATAAACAGGCCGAATTCCCACATCGTTGTACCGGTTATTTGAATGAACCGTGGAAAACAATTGTGCCCCTTTGAATGAGTAAATTCCACATTCGAAATGAATCAATTTTAATAAGTTGATCGTCTTAGATTGTTTTAGTGTAGCCTCCCGACGGAAGGGTCAACTCGTTTTATTTCTGAAGCCTTTCATCGCTTCAAACCAAGGGAATTAGGTTTTGGGTGCAGACAATAAACTATGTTTGCCAGAGAGGAGTAACCGGAACTCTTGGTTGACAAGATGCTGGGTTCACGCCCAACTGTAATGATTGCCTGCTGACCTTGCTGAAACAAATGACACAATGAGCACAACTGAGACCCTACACAACTATCAAGGTAAGTCACCTGTATAACCCAGTCCTATTGACCCAAAGGTCAATTGCACAGGTACCAAAACTCCCCTGGTTCATTCTCACACCAAATGCGGTACTCATATCTCGAGAAATTTGAACGATTGAACGAATGATCAGAATAACTCTGATCGTTGTCTCCAGACGAAACTGTCACCCAAAAATATGTCTTGTTTGTTGTCTGTTCAGTCTAATCAGTCCTGTTTGACTCGAGTTGCGCTTATGTGGACTGCATAAT